GTGCGCGGACTGGGCACCATGAAGTTTGCATCTGGCGTTGGAAACACCCGACCATTTCGTGATTCTTAAATCGGGCGTTTCGATTATGTTAACTTTGAATTAGTCAATTATAGCCTGCCTAACAGTCGATGCGTCGCATCATCAGTGAAGAATCAAACCTGGCAAACAAATTGTTTTATTTACAGCAACATAATAATCATCTAAATGGGGCACATCGTGTAGTCTCAAGCGTATTTGCTGACAATACACCAGCTGAACAAAGAAAACATTAAGTGAAGCATCATATGAAATATAAAACCTGCGTGGAAAAGACCGCATGGTCAGCTTCCACCAATGCAAAGGGTGGGAAACAAATGCGTGCGCGGCGCCGCTCTTGTTCGCGGAGTCCCGATCCGAAACTTCTGATGGCATAATGGCGCCGCGATTGGTACAGATAAGTCAGTGCAAGTACGGTGAAGGGTCGCGGCAGCTTTTGCGGTGGTTGCGGGTTTTGCAGATTTTGGGCGAATTCCTTGAATTCAACGCTAGCATGCGATAGCAAGGTGACAGTCGACTGAGAACGAGTTTGAATAATCGGCCGGCTACTAGCGTGCAAGGAGACATCCTCGGAATCAAGACCACGTTCAACCAAGCGGACCTATCCACCGCTTTCCCTCATCCGTCGATGACTGGCAATGATGGGCACTGGCATAGTCACTGCTGCTCATTTTTAAGCTTTTCAATGTGCGTCCAAAACGAGGTGTCCATCCATCCTTCTGGCGGCAAGCAATACAAAGTTCAAAGCGCTTGTCATCGCTTTGTTGGCACAGATGCCCGGATTTCGCCCACCACAGTGCAATCAAAAGGAAAAAAACGCAGTCCTTGAAATGATTGATGAATGAATTTTCCCATTTTAGTCCATTTTTAATATAGCCAGCCCAGAAAATGCAAAATCGTGCAAGCATAGCTTAAATAATATATTGCCATTTTTCAAACAATATGTTGTTCATGCTGCGCTTGGACAACGCGCATTTTCTGGTCTAATTAAGATACATATTTTAGCATCGTAGCGATCGTCAAATAATTCAACCACAACAGCAGGAAGTTGAGCAATATTAGCAATCGTGGAATCGGAAAGCCATGAAATGGCGCAGTCGCCTCAGTTTCAGCTGTTGTGCCATTCGACTGGAACAACGCAATCTTTGCAAAAACAAAGCTGTGCAACACGACGACTGAAAAATAGTGCAACCTTGGACATCGCAATATCTTGCGAATTTACACTGTTGTATATAATACCTAAATTGCAGCAATCCTAAAACTCGCGCTCTGAGACGTTGCCCGTCAGCGCAGATCGCATAGTACCTCGCAGCCCGCTGGCGGTGCCCCGAAGGACTCGCCAACGGCATGCAGGCCTCGTTGCAAATGGATACCGCTATTCTGAGAATGCTTCCGTGAATGCGTTGTTATGGAGCAATCCATAACGTTATGGATTACGTCAACGTTAATGTAACGTTAACGTTTCCACAATATTGTTGTGACGATAGTTGTGTGCATCATAGATACGCTGCGTAGTACTGGGTTGGGTCTTTATAAACGGCTTGTTTTATAACGTAAATAGTTGCGCATCTGCAGGTACTTACTTGTGAATATATTTTGTTACGGTTTTGCGCTTAAGCAACCGCAAAAACGGGTAAAAATGGGGCCCCATAAAGACAGCCATACAACCTCAGGGAGTCCAGGGAGTGGCAGCCAGACGCGCTGGAGTGGGCAGACAAAGTCCTTTGTTGACGACGTCGTTGTCCTTGCCGAGGGCGAGGGGAATCTGTGTTGCGGGTGCTCGATGAGCCGGAGGACCGACCACTGTTTGGGACATCATCTTGTAATCTGCGTGCATCGAAGAGTCATGAAACTGCCCAAATATGACTATAGAAATGACAGTTCTCTACCTGCATGGTTTTAAATGTAAAAACGTAAACGCAAAAGTGGTACCGCAAACGTAAATGACAAGCCCTTTTATAAACCTGGGCTGCGACAGTACATTGACGTAATCTGATCGATGTCCGGTTGGGTATACATCACACAATACAAATAACACATCAGTTTCCTGCATCAGTGCAATATCGCGAACAAGGCCATTTTGCTGCATCAATGCCATGATCATCAGCAGCAAACTTTTCAACTCTATTTTTGATTACAATGCCGCTTGTTTGCTTTATAGTGAACAAACCCACGTTTGTACACAGTTAGTTCCGTGCTGCAATGTCGTCAAACTGCTGGAAATCACGCATAGGCAAAGCCGATAAACAACCTCAGTGCGCAGCGTGTTTGAAACGCTAGAATTAGCATAACAATGACGGTTTTATGCTGTGTATGCGTCAAGTTTCATGGAAATGTTTATGTACACAGAGCAGGGAATTGTGGCGCAAAGGCAAACAAATCGAAGCGGATCTTTCAATTATGGAAAGACCCATTGTGAGGAATTCCGCAAGAATTGAAATAATCATGTACTTTCGAAAACGGGCGTCAGTACACCATGTTGATCGGTGCAAAATCTTGCAATCTGAGCACCGCTTCGGTTCAATTTCCACCAGCTATATCCGCAGCGCGCAACTTACTTTTCTCGCTGGCCAGCACTCTCCATGGCGACACCCCCCTTCTTCTCCACCGTGCAAATTGCTGGCAGGAAGCGCCGCTTGTAACCCGCCTTGTTGCAGCCCGAATCCCTTGTTTCAGCTGATGCTACTCGGAATTAACCTTTCGGTGGGCGCTGTGGTGTGCTGTTCAAGAACATGTGACGCAATAACTAAATATTAGATTGAGAATTCTAAACGCACAGTTGAGAACTTCATGCATTCACCTATGCTTTCCATTTGTGCTGATCTTTGTGATCAGCATGGAGTATATAGTGCAACGATGTACGTAGGTTCAGATTTCAGGAAGCTTTGCAGTGTGCAAACGCTGAGAGGACGCTGGGGAAAGACGGCAGCAGAAGTGCGGTCGAGGTAAGATGCCCGTGGCCCACTTGAGCGCGATCCACATGGCTATCGCACAATTCCAAAATGGAAAGAATTCACGTACATTAATGCATTAACATCTGCTTCACATGTATAATAACGCATGTATCGAAGTAGGTACTACATACTTCTGAAGTACATGAACCAATACATTGCAACCCCGTTGGACGCAGCTAAAACCTGTATGAAAGGATCCTCTTTTGCCAAAGGAAACTGGTCACAATGTCTCCTCTTTCGCCAGAGACGTACACATTTGGAGGAAGGGAACTTACTTCAATTATCCACCCAGACGATCAGCGCACCGTTTTATTGGCAGTTTCTTCCAGCGTGATGCCTGGAAACATTTGGAATGTCCCATTGTCGCTCCGTCGAGCAAACACGCCCAATGAAACATGTGGTCTATTGCAGAGGCGGCCACTTGCGGTGCTTCAAAATTTCGAGATTTCTGCGTGCTTAACATCTAGCAGCATGTTGGCACGACGGCATCACAGACATCGCATTGCCGCTCAAAAGCAAGACTCGTACACGAACACCCAATGCGTATCACATCAACTGGTGTGAAGGCTCCCATGGTGCTTAGATGGCTCACGTCAGGAAAGGAGTCCAACATGCAGGATACAGCAGTTTCCTTGTTTTGCCCCAATCTAAGAGACTGAACAAGGTGTGGACACCCCATAGCCTGGATGCAACGCGCTTCAAGGCATAGTTGGCACAACAAGCTTTGTTCAGTATTATGTCTTGTGCTTATGTTATTTGTTCCTCTCTCTTTGCTGATGCTTGGCGGAACGGTGTTTCAGCAACCAGCTGCAACATCCTCCATAAGAGACGTGTTGAAGCAGACACCCCCAGTGGGCAAGACACATTGCTTTGTTGAGCTCACTTTTGCAAGAAGATCGTGCGCATGAGTGCACCACCCAGAAGACTGTAGCCTAGGTTGGATTGCAACCCAAATCACGGTCTGGGATTGTCTGGCATTTATTTGGGGACTCCAAAAGGTGCAGTGATGTGGCCGGGCGCATCGCCAGTTGCTGCCATGGTTCGTTCACCAAGGCCCCAAGAAAGTGACGTCCGCTACTCACGTCCCAACGCAACCTGCGGTCGAAGTTTGGAATGTTGGAGTCCTTTGTGTGAACTTGGTTACTTCAAACCATGGAACTTTGGCACAATGGTTCAATAGCAGGTGAGCATCAGGATGAGTGGACGGGGAGTCAGACGTTGACGCTATGCAAATTGTCCAGCCACCCCAGCATCGTAGCATCTGCGATCGAAGTAGTGACCAATCAGCAGCTCAATGTGCCATTCGTCATGTCATGGGCAGTCACCCAGGCTCCACCTTTCATTGACTGAATGTCGCCACGCCCACGCTAATGGCAAGAAAGCGAGCTAATTATAGGTGACCTGGTATCACCTTCAATCCTCCCAGTGATGGATATCATTACTGTTGAAATTGTACTGATCATGGGCACCATCTTTCAGCGACACAACACTGACGATGCACAATGATAAGCAATTATCACCAATGACGCATGCTAGAATTGGTTGCCTTGCATAGCCATCAATCAGCAAAGTTTGTGAAAGTCCATGCTCGTCAATTCAACGTGTATGCTCTTACAACCATCAATAACGTAAAGCTAGCGAACGCTTGTGGGGTATGTGCATGGTTAAGAAGCATGGCATTCAATTGTCATCGACTTGCAATGAATGACAAGAGCTATGCACATCTACGGGCTGCATCTCAATCTGCACACGTGGCTCGCATCAGATCTTATTGGCTGATCCAATGATGGGAAACGGATGTTGTGGCAAACCTTAAAAACGCACCTATGCTAACCACCCTGCTAAGCCAGCAGCCAAAGGCTCTCATCTTTTGGGTGCTCTTTCCCCCTCCCAAAAAGTGACAACAAAGAAGAAAAGAAGGAAACGTCCCGCGGCTTGCAGGCCCCATTACGCCATAGCACAGCCATGGCATGCAGACCCCACCATCGGTTTTTAGGTGCACAGCCACACTCATGATGCCCTCGCCCTGCCCTGCGCATTGCCATAGCATATTCAACATCATGAGGAGCTTTAGAACCGAGAGGCTTGCATGCACAGGACGAAATGCCCTATCATCAAAAATTTAAAAAATTTCTGACCATGATCACACAGCTCCATTGAAGCTGGATACATTAAACAAATATGTTTCAGCAATTTAGGAATGACTGAGAATTGAGTGTTGTTACCTTGTATGTGCAAAAATGTGACCAACTGGCAAAATTGGAACACTTTGCCACCAGTGTCGAGGGATGAAAATGCACGAATGCAACTGAATCTCAGTGGCGAGATAGGGGCAATGAACGCAGTAAGCCAGGCATGACTTACCACTGTTTTGGCAGATGATACAAAAAGATAGATGGGCTATCAATCTAATACAATCCTGGACAACGTGGGTACAAGGTTCAATATTAAGCACATGGGTTGTACCCAATTCACTCGAAGGGTGCCCACTATTTCTCATGTTGTGATATGGCTCATGTGCAGACTTAATTCGCTTGCAAAAATTTCCCATTTTGCACAATTTATTTCCATGCTCAAATTGCGTGGAATCAGTGAGATAATCATGCAGTGATTGTGCAAAATGTGTTTGAAAACTGGCCAGCAATCTTATGACCAAATCTTTGAAGTTTAAAACATCAAAAGATTCTTTAACTTTAAGCTCATGTTTGGTACTGCAAACTTAGAAATATAGAATCCTAAACCAGGATTCCCATCTGCATCTGTGGTAACCTCTAACAGTGACTAATTTGCAACGTCTTACAATTGTTGGAACGATTTTCCACAAATTCAAGCTGAGTTCTTTTCCTTTCGGCACTTGGGAAGAAATGCTGGGTGAGGTAAATCGCCCTGCACATGGCAGGGCTCTCACAATGAAATTTAATAAAGGAATGCCAGAATTTGGTGGTTGCCAGTCTTCCCACGGCTGGCAATTCAAACATGCATATGAAACACATCCAAATATTCCAATTGATGCAACACAGCAAAACAAAGTGATCAGGGCACATGGTGGCACTGTGACTGCATTAATGTGCCTAAAGTGTTTCATTTGATTGGATTGTCCTAACTGTTAGACAGTAAAAATTTTCATCAAAGATGTGACAAAGGCAAAGTTTTTATTGCGGATGTGGTGAAGAAAAGAAATCTGAAATATCCTCCAACTCCTTCGCGATACACTGCCAAACTAAAGACGTCCATCACTGATGCAGCCTCATTAAAAGCAGGAATTAAAATTGCACCGCACTGGAAGGAAGTTCTCCAGTGGTTTCTTTGGGGCTCAAAACTCTGGAACAGATCAAGAGCTGTGGCAGTAAATTATTCTTTGAGGACAGTCTTTTCCATCACAAGGCCCGTGCCAGCTGTGACAAGTTATTGGAACGTCATATCATTGCAACAACCAAAAGTATTGCTGACAGCATTACCTGTGCAACATCATATTATTTCAGCAAAGGATCGCTCTCAGTCTGAGTTCATCAAAAATGCACCAATTCCATTATGCAACTGCTTGCATAATGCAGCAACAGAAATGCATAAAGTAGATCTAATATGGTATGTGGTAACAGGCAGTACAAGGCACAGAGATCACATACTCACTTCCAGCTTGTCCAGGGTCGCCTGCACACGTCCCAAGGACTGTTGGATGGCCTTCAACCGCGTCAGCAACTTCTCGAGCTTCTGGCCAAAAGCTTTAGATGCTGGGAGTGAGGATGTTGCTGCCTTCATTCCTGCCACCTCTGCAATATCACAGTTGACACAGACAATCTAATTGGGGGAAATCGGTAGAGTTCAAACCCATCAACTGTGGCAAGGTTGATGGGAATGTTGAGCAAGGATTTGCAGAAAAAACTCACTTCACATGTGTATATATTTTTGTCCCACATCGTCTATTAACATCAAGTACCGGTTTGTCCCATTGGGTCCTTTTGTGAATTTAAGCCTTGGCAACAATGATTGGAGCTCCTAAAACTGGGAAAGCAAGATCGCATCCGTGCAATTGGGGAGGCATTCTCAGCACACAACATATTGGATTCCCAACAAATCAGAACATGATGCAAGCTTTGCAACATGGGGAATCCTGTTATACTCTGGGCTGCAGAGCTGATGCACTCCCATGACGGAATTACTTGTGAGGTTATCTGCATGTAACCTTCTTTGTAAAGAACAGACCAAGGAAAGCTTGTTCATTGCCAAAGCCTGAGAAACAATAAGACTGCCTCAATTTGATTGCCGCGAATCCAGAAGTGATCAGGGTGCACATGCAAGACCTCCAGCATGTCAGAGTATCTTGTAAGGACAGTTCAGGTGAGCAACTGGCCCATGTGCAAGAAACAACTCCCCTCTTCTTCCATCACCACCAGCAAATACCCTTCCTACACTAGACTTCAACCCAACGTGGATGCAAAGTACACTCTGCCAAGGCCACTCACATCGCACTGGGTGCACAGTGGGTATGTGAACTAATCAGAAACCTTCAAACACTTAGATGCATGGACTGCTTCCATTGGCTTCTGGGTGCAGTCCTACTCCCCAGATGCAAGGCTGCAACAGCACTCCCGAAAGGCGCTCGACCCCCTGGTGCAGAATCGCGGGCCAGGTCGAGGGGCACCAACCCGGCAGAGCGCAGAGCCAGCCCCGCTCAAACTAAAAGAAACGATTTATATATATGGGCACCGATCTGCGGACAGCCACCCAGATTGAGCCATCCCAGCAGATATACGTACTGTAGAGGCGCGTCCCTTCACGCGGGCGCCCCCCCAAGGCCCCCACCTTCCAGCACTTGGTGCAGGGCGTCCTTGAGCTGGGCCTGGCTGTGCAGCACGGACCGGAGCCTGGTGTCCTCACCCTCCACGTGTGCCGCCAGCATCTCGCGCAGGCCCCCTTTGATCCAGATGGAGCCAACGGGGCGGGTGGGGTCAGAAAATGACAAATTTCTCGCCAAGCGGCGGGGAGAGGGGAACGCCCCATCCCTGATCGCCAGCCCCATTGGGGGGGACGACGCATCCCCGACTCGATCCGAGGCTCCAGGGGTTCGCGGATTCAAATCGCGTCGGGTCGAGATCACGGGGGCGCTTGACGGACCACGTTCAGGGCGGCAGCAGACCGTACCGCTGGCTTGGCCGCCCTCGCTCGCCATCTCCTCAGCCCGCGATCCCACCCCACGTGCCAGAATCTCCCTGGCCCCCTCGCCCGCCCCTTTCACCCCAGTTGCCCTCCTCTGCCCGCCACTCTCTTCAGCCGGCGCCCCCCTTTCCGTGCCCTTCCTCCCAAGGCCGGTGGCGAGACGCGTTTTCCTGCCGTTCCTTTTCGCTCCCAGCCCCCGCCCGCGGCACGGCAACATGAAAGGTGCACCCGGCGGGCAGCGATGACCTGATATTGAACAAGCCCATCGTGGCTGCTGAAAAGTAGCTGGGTCGGGCCCAGATTTGGGCGCCGCCCGCCAGCCAGACGGTCCCAAACCACGCGTCCCGCTTAGTCAGACCACCGCCGGGTGTGGAGGCGCTGCCAAAGTGTGGGAGGGATTGAGGGGCTGCGAGGTCAGGCGGAAGGCCGCCCCCGCCCCCCACCCCACCCCACCCCACCCCTCGAGGAGCGTTTGACCTCGTCAGCGGGCGCCGCCGGCTTTCGTCTCCACCCGCCAAGGCGGCGCGCCGCGCCGCTGGGAACCGTCGGGCCGGCATCCTCCTCCGAGACCTGCGGGGAATCGGCGAAAGGGCAAAATCTTCCTCGAGATTGTAGTTTGGGGCCACGGAGAGCCGACGGCCAGGTGCGCGGGAGCGGAGCTGCGGAAGATGGGGTTGGCGGCGGCCGGATCGAAAAATGTTTCACTGGGGGGGGTGGGGGGTGGGGTCGGTATCGGCCAAGGGGACGTTTTCCCAAGCGGCGTGAGGGCGCTGGCCTTCGAAAATCTGACCTGAGGGTGTTTGGGGGACGTTGGGGCGTTTGGAGGTCACGTGGGCGGACGGGGTGGGGGTGGGGGTGGGGGTGGGGATCGGGCAGTTGGGAGCCGCTGGGCGGAGGTGTGTGGGGTGGTGTGGTGTGGGGTGGGGGGAGTGGGCGCTTGGCGATGTGTGGATCCGTGGGCGGTGCCGCGGGGGAGGCCAGGTGGCAAGGAGGTGTGGTTGTGTGAGCGAAGACGGATGTCGGGCGGAGGCGCGGCGGCGGGATGTGTTGGCGGCGGTGGCGGCGGTTGGGAGGCGCGGAGTGGAGGTGTTGGAGGCAGGGAGCCGGCAAGAGCGCCTGGATGGCCGCCCCTCCCGGCACCCAACTCCACCCTCCCGTCGAGAATTTTCGGCGGGTTGACGAGTTGGAGCGGCGGTCACCCGATTGGCGTCCTGACTCGCAGGCCACCGTGGCCCTTGGCTGGTTGCCCCGCGCGATCGGCCGCCATCGCCGATCTTCCTATGCGCCACCGAGACGCGCCTCCCCTCCCCCACCCCCCGCTTTCCGGGTTTCGCCCTCCTTGGGCCTCGAGCAGCGCCTCACACCGCTCCGGACGCACCAGCCACTTGTCCCACCCCACACACGCCCTCTTCCCCTCGCCCCCCCCGCCCCCCCCCCACCGCCTTAGACGCGCGGCCTTGGCGGCGCCTGGGTCAGTCTCCGATGTCGAGGCCAGTCGTTGCGGCCGCGGATCCACCCTTTCAGGTCGGGTTCACTCCTCTGCGCACGTCGCTCCCCGTCCAGCGCGGCACCTCGGAGCCCTCCCGTTCCCAGCCCTTGGCCCCCCGCCCTCGCGTCGCTGAATCGAACCTCACTTCGCCTCCACGCCCACGCCCTTGCTTCCGCTCATCCACGCTGCCTTTGGAGATCGCTGTGCAGTGGGCGCACGCAACAGGCTACCCCTCGCTGACCCAACCACCCCCTTCCCCTCCCAATTGAATTAGCGCTCGTTGGATCCGGAACGATGCACCCAGTCGTTTGGTCGTCCGATGTCCGCCGTCTTGGCTGTGTTCTCTGTCTCTGTCCCCACTGCCCAAGAATTATGCAGGGCTGCCATCCCCTGTGCGGAGACCAGCGTCTTGCCAACCAACGCTGTCTTGCTGCTGCCGCCGCAGGTAGTCCCTGCCCAGGATGGCGATTCACCTCTACCCTTTGTTTGAGAAGTCGCTGAGGTGGGTGCTCTGCAGAGATGTCACGATATTGTCTCCAGTGATTTTGCCTGGCATACGTCTTGCCAAAGGCTGGGTGGTGCTTGGTTGTCTGCAAATGGAAGTCTCAGTTGCTGCATACTGCCAGTGTCGAATGTCTAGTTCATGCCTTTGAGAGCGCAACTTTTCCAGTGTGATTATTATTGCTTGTTTTTCCAAGTGTGCTTAGAATGCCCTAGCATGAGATTGCCCAGTGTTAAAGGAGCCAACATGCTGTCAGGGCTGCAGCATAGCTGTGGTGTGCCGCTATGTGCTGTATAGCTCAGGGGTAATCTTTGCAGTAGTGAGCCTCTCAGGGGTAATCTTTGCAGTAGTGAGCCCCAGCATGACCCTTATATGTTGTATGACTTTTAAACCCAGTGCATTTTGCCTGCAGTCAGTGGTGCTTGTAGTTGTGTTTGATTAACATCTTAAATGCATTTTGAACTGGTGTTGCTATTGCAAAGATAGATACAACTGCTGTGAAGTTCGTTAGAAAATGTTAAAGCACGGAGCAGTTGCAGACATCACCAGCACTCTTTATGTGGTCAATGCAAGGCTGCTCGCTATGCAGTCAGCACCATACATATTGACACTTGATGGTGTGGATGGTCTGCTAAATTGAATTTTCTAAATAGAAATGCTGAATATGGAATGGAGCAGATGCTCTGGCTTGCACATGTGCCCATAAAGCAATACTCGAACTCTTCAGTTGCTGGGCTACTGTCGCCTATGAACTGTGCAGATGCTATAGACAAAGCAGTTGTGGTTGACAACAATGCAGCTACTGCAAATGATGCTAATAGTGTGGATAATGGAGGCAACTGAGATAAAGCAGACAGTGCAGATAATGCAGATATGTGAGCTGTGTTTTTTTCACAGATGTTTCAGACTTTGCAGACACTTGCAAATGATGAAGATTTTTAAGACAGGGCAGATGATGTGGATAACTGATGCATGTAGATGGTGCATTTACAGCAGATAATAATGCAGTTGACACAGATAGCACAGATGATGCAGATAATGCATGTTATCCTGATGACGCACATATGCAGGCAATGGAGCTCTAGGGAATGATATTGACATAAAATGCAGTAATGTGGGCTGCAGCTGCTGCAAATCCTGCAGGTGTTGCTGAAAGTACAAAGTAGATGCAGTAGCTGAATAATGCTGCTGATACCAACAATGTAGGTAAGGAAGATACTAATGCAGGTATTTGAAATTGTGCCCGCAGTGTATGTGGACTGATGGGGCATGTATGAATATTGCCAGCAGCACTGCACCATATTTGTTGTCCCCACTTATACTGTCCCATAGTAATATCAACTGTGAGCAGCAGTAGCACCAAAAGTTCTTCAACTTTGCAATGCTTTCGTCCTGTTGATGCCATTACAACTTTGATACCAGTCAACTGTCGTCAAGGTGGTGCACATACACCATCGCCAACTGCACAGGCAGTGCCCCCCAAATTGTTCACTGCTGTGGAAGCCAGCTGATGCAATAATAGCCTGGTGCAACTGTGTTTTGTAAAGGCTGGTAAGTGACTGGTGTGTGCATGATTGGAACCAGGCACCGGCTTACTGTCTTTCCAATCCCAGTAACAGTTGCTTCACTGGCTCCCAGCCAAGAAGGAATACAAGGTGGGCAATGCTGGTCAAAAACTGCTTGTCACCTGCAATTTCTGCCTTGCCTAAACAGGTCTAGAATGCTGGAAAGTTGAGTACCAGATGTGCAGAATATGTGCAAATGGAATCTAATCCTGCAATTCGACCCTGCTTCAGTGGTAATGGCACCATTGCATGCACAAAACATGCAGCGGTGCATGTAAGAATGGCAGTTCACCCACATGCTGATACATGGGAGTTGGCTTGCAGCAAAAATGTGCACCAGCTCTCTGCATTCATTCCTGTGCCTTCTTAGCTGTCTCATTGTGCCTGTTTGTTGTTTCTGTTACATTTTGAATGAAGTGTGCTAGCAGAAAGAACCTCATTTTGTACAGTTTATGACTCTATGTAAAGCTTACATGCAGTTGTTCACAGCTACACTCTGATTAGTGCGCTGGTTGAAAACAGCAACTGGTGAATCTGAAGTGCAACCCTGTTCGTGCGTCATGTACTTATACTAAAATCAATGGCTGATGTCATTAATGCTATTAAATATGGCAATAAAATACATTTATATTGGCCTTGTATCAATTAGTTGTCGCTGCTAGTGACGTTGTTGGTGTTATTTTTCTCAAGTGATGTGGAAACAAGAGGTTGAGGCCCAGGCAGTATGTGGTATGTCTTTCAGAACCAGAAATAAAGTGCCCCGCACTGTTTTAGGTTTGTATTGTTATTGCTGCTGGATGACAGACACTTTGCACTCGAAAGGTTTCAGATCTGATGGTGTGCAAAGTTCTTAGGGTTTGAGTACATAATAAGCAAACAAGGGCAGGAGTACTTTCATAAGCTGATTTGCTGGGACTCAGCACCAGTGTTGTGTTGGGTCAGTATTAACGTCGAACCAATAATTCCGTGGTTGTCACTGATCCAACACAACTACGTTACATACTATAGACATGATATGTCCATAACATAAAAATAGTGATGATGTTGTAGCAATGGTAGAGTAACAGATGCATCATGTTTCAAAAAATACAATATGTACCATATTTAGGACAGCAATATATGTTGGCGCAAGTGTGCAAAGCAAGAGGTTGATGACTGGATTTCCCATTTGGCATGATGCCAAGTTTGCAATAGGGTTGTTTGATAGCCAGGGTGCCAGATATGCCACCTCTGGATTTGTTGACTGTGGCACACCCTGCTCAATATCTGCAAGTTGATGAAGGGCACTGTCTGTGGCATAAGAATTTCCTTAAGCGGCCTGCAGATGCCAGCTGTCTGCAGAGTCCCCTCACTGCAGTATGGGCAACTTATGTATGTGCTCTCGTCCATTAGTTGAACAACTAGTGTATTGATATGTGCTGTCAAGATGCTAACTTACTCCCATGTTATGGCTCGCTGCAAGGAGACCGGAACAACTCAGGAGTGGACATTGTTAGTCTGGCAGATGGCAGGCACAGGCCCTGTGCCTCACAAAATTGCAGAACCATGCAACAGGGCAGCACCTGGGTTAGAACAAGGGGCTGTGCAAGTGGTGCAGACCCCGCACTTGACTCTTTGGAAGTGAATAATGCCATGACGGAGGTGAGACACAAGAAGCTCTGTCTGCTTTACACAGAATGTTGTCTGAAGCTGAAGGAGGCAAACACTGTTGGCAACTGGGAGAGACCTACTATGGTGGGAGGCCGTGCAAGGCATGATATGTATGGGCGTGAGAAGTGTGTGCAAGGTGAGTGTATGTGTGAGGGCAGCAACTGAATCACATGAGCATGCAAAGACAAATTTACTTTTTTTTCTTAATTGTTGGCATAATGTTACATGTTGGCATGTCAGCAAAGTATGGCTGTCTTGTGTTCTGTGTTTAGGTGATCTGGTGATTTTAGCGAATGTGGTATGGGCGCTCATAGTGATGCATTAATTGTATTCAGCAATGAAGCGGCTTTGTTACTGTAGTACAGAAGTTGATGCGCATTACATGCTTGCCAATTGCTGAGAGGGAATTGACAGATGGCTGGAAATATAGCGATTTCATTCATATAATATCCTGCTGAAATTGAACAATTGTGTTTCAACTGTATAGTGTATGTTGCACATGAAACAACCAATCTCTTCTTGTAATATGTCATGCAAGCTTTACTACTGGTATGTACATACATTTTCCCTGAAAGGGTGTATCAAACACCAGAATAAAATTGCGTAATTTAACTGTGTTTGAATTTACATTAAGACACTCAGATTTCTAGCTCAATATCAGACTTGAACAGGTTTGTTACACACTGCACAGCCACATGTACATCAACAATGTACATGCAGTTGTATAATTATGTTGGATCAAATGTCCAGCATGTGGGCCAAGTGCGCATTTTCAAACAAAGTCACTGTGCCCAAGTTTGCAATGGCAACAGCTGAAATATCTGAAGCACAAATATGAAGGGGCAGTTTGTGTTTCTCACCTCTTGTGTTTGGTCATTGGGTTGAGCATCAGTCATGTCGGTTGATGGATAATGGTAATCAGGGGACTGCGACCCCATGTAAGCAGGCATGAGAGAGTTTGGCAGCTGGCCTGCAGTCCCCTGGGGGACATGACGAGCAGGGGCAAGGTCAATCATGCATGCATGAGCTGTGCCACATCCAACTTCCCAATATTTGGACAATTATTGGTGCACATTTGTGTGCAGTTACAGTGCAAAAAGGGAAAACCCATAGTACTGTGAGCAAAATTCACTGTTCTGGGAAAACTTCTGCATATTTGCAGAAAACAATGTCCATACAAGACAATATTCATGCATTTGACAGTGTGCTATATAATCATTCCATGAATGATTCGACCCCTAAAAAAGCACTGGTCCACAGAATTTCACCACACAAAATAAACAATCATTCCTCCCACAAGAGTGGTATTCCCCCTTGTGAAGTAGCCATTCCTGGATCCCTCGAGGGTGAATTGGGCAGCAAAATGGAGGTTGAATCCTGCGCAGCTGGTGTGTCCAGACCACCATATCTGGTTGTCATTCCCACAGCCTCCAGGATGTGAACAACCTGTTTGGTACATTGGCTGTGCAGCTCCTCAACAAAGGCTGCCACACTTGTGATTACTGCTGTGCAAACCAATGGGCCAAATGGCATGTGAAAGATGAGCAAAAAATCCACCTCAAAGAATTTTGTTGTGGATTCTACTTTTGATTCTTAGGCATAGCTGAAGGCTGGCATGCATTTGTATGCAAATCAGACCTTTCAGCCATCCTGCTATCAGTGCACCCAGCAAATGTTATACGCAATGCATGTGATGGTTCTGGTGGTCAATGAACACCTGCACAATTTTTTTAAGTGACAAATGTCACTATTGCTTGTGCAATGCTTGCCAGCACCAGAAATGCTTGGAGCTCATGGTCTCTGGGAATGGTGAGGTTGGCCACTTTTCAGCAGTCATACAGCTGGCTTTGAGGGGCTCCTTGAAGCCAGAAGCACATACACAAACACCAACTGACAAACTGACAAGGTGCCAACGCAGATAAAAATGGTGTGATCAAGAGGAGGGCACTGTGAAATGGGGATTGATGGGTGTATGTGCTAGGTGATTACTGGACACTTCCAGGATCATAACATGGAAATGTAGGCCGAGTTTAATTAACTCTCGAAAGCTGTCAACACAGGTGATTCTGGGACTGTCTTTCAGTGTTAGCCCAGGTTTTCTTCCCAATCTTCCATAACTGCAGGTTATTGTAGGAAGTACATAGTAAGTGCCCACTTTGCCTGCAAGTTTGTGCTGTGGGACATATTGACAGAATTGCAACATTTGGTGCTGACACTCTTGACATTCTCCACAGGTTGTCATCCAGCAATGAATGGTGGGACTGTAAGTTATGCTGACAGTCCTGGCGACAGCGAGCTATGTCTTCCGGAGACTGATGATAGTGACAGGGGCCAAAATTCAGCTGACCTAGTGGCAGGCAGTGAAAGGGGTGGAAAGGCAACTGGGGTGGACAGTGACTCTGATGCTGAGAAGGGTGGGGATGCTTTTGTTGGCCGGCAGGTGAGGAAAAGGTTTGGTAGAAAATTCTATGCAGGAAAGGTAACAAGATATGACCCTGCTGTCGATTGGTATCTTGTGGAGTATGAGGATGGTGACTCAGAAGAAGTGGGCTATGAAGAACTGGTCACAATAATAAAACCACAGAAATCAGGTGCTGTAAAGAAGGGTGCCAAAACTGCATTGGGTGACAAGAGGAAAGGGGAAGAGGAAATGGCAAATGGCCATGGCACCAAGAGGAGTCGGAGTACTGGCCGGTGGCTCTCACCAGAAGACAGGTTTGCATTGAGAATTGAAAGACTAAAGCCTGCAGATTGGCCAGTGGAGGCTGAGAAAATTTTGGCAAGTCTTGGGGAGAATCCTCTGGAGAATGACCATGAATGGCAGCTGCCTAGTCGAAAAGAGAGTGTGGAGAAGGCACAGGGCATTTGGCACCTCCTTCCTGAGGCTGTTGACTTCTTGATGGCAGCTGAAGCAGATGTGAATGCATGCATAATCAACCTCCCTTCCTGCCTCCGCAGAATCAAGGAAGTTCAGAAGGAGTTCTATGTTACACTGCGTGAGGCAGAGTATGAGGAGAAGGTGAGGATCAACAAGAATTTGAGCCTGGCCATGAGTGGGGAGAACAACACTAGCAATGCGCTGCGCATGACAGAGCGCCGAATGGAGGGCAAGCGCTTATACAATCAGAACATTGTTGGCCACATACCTGGTGTGCCAATTGGCATCCAAGTCCAATCCCGTGCTGAGCTGAATTGCCTCAGCCTGCACAATTCACGATCGACCAGCATCTGCTGCATACGGTGCTCCCAGATCTCTGGGGTGACAAGCATGCCAGAGGTTGGGGGCTCCATAGCAGCCAGTGTAGTCGTCCCACAGCCACAGGAAGAGTCAGACGGGGATGAAGGTGAGCTGATCTACACAGGCCTGGGGGGCGTGAGCTTAGTGTCACGGCCAAAGGCAGCACTGAAGAGACGGGTGTTCTCGGGGACAGGCTGCAAACCTTCTGGAAATGGTAAGAAGGACAGCTGCCATCAAACAAACAATGCACTGGAAAACAACCATCGATTGGGCATCCCGTTCCGGTTAATTCGCAAGTTGCGCAGCTTCGCAGGTGTTACAAAGTATGTGTGGCTGTACGCTGGCCTGTGGGTTGTGTCCCATGTGTGGTGGGAGGTTGGTGATGAGGGCTTCTCCATTCCAAAGTTCAAGTTTGTTAGGCTGACCCCCGATGCTGGGGATGGGCTACACATGGAAAGGGCCAGTGCCATCTTCAAGGGCATTTTGAGCTCCAAGGAGGAGGTCATCTGTGATGACCTCTCATGTGGGTTGGAGTATCCAATGAAGATTCAGGTAGTAAATGGCGTTGATGATGTGACAGACCTTTGGAATGATGCACCTGATCCACTATCAATGAGTGGGGAGAACTCCAGTGTGAAGCCCAACTTCACCTACATCACAGACTATGCATATGGAGATGACGTCCCTGCGCCCAAGCCCCTAGGGAAATGGGGCTACAGATGTGCCCTCCACATTGCCCATGGGAAGGTTGCTGAGCTGAATGGTGAATTGCCATTTGCAAACTGTGGAGCCCAGGTGCCACTCCTTGTTGAGAGGAGGTGCATTCTGTATGAGTGCGGGCTTTGGTCGGGGTGTCCTCTCTACCCCAATTGTCCCCAATCTGTGACAGGAAGGGGCATCCATTTCAAGCTGCAGGTATTCCGGACTGCAAATCGGGGCTGGGGAGTGCGTGCATTAGAGGGCATCCCTATGGGTGCTTATGTGTGCACTTATGTTGGTGAGGTCCTTCACCACCAAAATGCAGAGAAGCTAACAGACAAGCGATATCTGTTTGACCTCTGCAAGCGGACAGATATGACAGATGACAACCAATATTTGGATGTGCCCATGGACAACGTAGAGGTGAGTTTTGAATATTTCCTTCACAGATATTGTTGTTTGCACAGACTGTTGTGTTTCATGCTGTGCAGTGTGTCCAGTCCGAATGCTCCAGATGCGGCTTGCAAGTTGCATTTTGATGAGCAGTAATATGCAACTTAGATGCACGCTGATCATTTATGCTGTTTGCAAGCTGTGGCTTTTTTAATACTTGCTGACTGTGTGGCATACAACATGTATCATTAATTTTGCAATTTGCACAAAGATTTAGACCTTGTGGCGAAGAGCTGCTGCTGCTGCTGGAAAGGAAGACAATTTGAAACCATGTGAATTGCATATAGTTGATGCACTATTGCGGTGCATTTCAAATCAAGGGACCCAAAGCTTTGATTAGTGGCAGTGCACCCAATCCACCCCCACAGCTGCTTATTTTCTAGAAGTTTGCCTGTATCTGTGAGAACATACCAACGTCAATGCAATGTGAAATCAGTTATCGAAATTTTTTATCATCACAAATATTTTGGAGATGATGAAACTGAGAGAGTCTAACTGCTTTCATTGGCAGCAATAGCTGTAATGCTCAGGCTTCTTATTTGTGTTTTCATTTACATTCTTACATTTACAGTTTTATGTGTAAAAACGTAAATTTGCAAAAGAAGCTATTTTTATAGCTGGTTTTACGTTTTTACCGCTCGTGACACCCAGGTTATATGATGGAAATTGTGTACAGTGATCAGTGCTCTGCCCCCTTGAGCGCCTGCAACACAGCATCCACTTCCCACTCAGCAAGGGCCACGATGGAATGGAACAAAATTCGTTTTTTGCCCAATCCAGTGCATCTGGATGCCATTGCCTGGAGTCCCAAAGGCTGTATGAACTGTCCTTATGTACACGGGGCTGTTTTTATGTTGTTACTTACATATTTTATGCACTAAAATGTGTAACGATTTTTACACATAAAATGTAAATACGACCTGTGTTTATGGCATAAATAACAAGCCTTGTAATGCTGGTGGTAGTCATGCTCTGCAGCACACACACAAACATGCACACGCACAATTACATCATTTCCATGGTCAGAAAGGAGCTGTGACTATGAGATGTCATTCGCATTTGCATATGAATCAAAAGTAGTTGCTTTATGCATGTATTGAATGGTGCACTATTCAAGCTGTAACTGTTAGTATACATGCAGCAAAGTGTACATATGTGAATATTCACTCTGTTGTCAACATCAATTAATTTGAAGGTTTATGGAAAGTTGATCAGCTTGACTCCCCTACTTGACAGCTGTACTTCATGTTATCTGCAGGTGACATATGCAGTGAATGCCAAGCACCGTGGAAACATAGCCCGTTTTATCAACCACAGTTGCGACCCCAACCTGTATGTGCAGCCTGTGCTGTCAGATCACCACCAAAAAGATTTGCCCAAAATCTGCCTGTTCTCGATGAAGGCGATATCAAAGGGGGAGGAACTGACCTATGACTATGGCTACCAATATGTGATGAACCACTTGGGTGGAGGCTGCCATTGTGGATCAAGTCGGTGCATTTGTGCCAAGCCTGCGAGCATGATCTCAGCTTGGAAGTATGGTGATAGAGGCCTGGATGCTACAGATGAGATGACAGAATGAAAAGCTAAAACAGTGTCTGTTGGGGGGCTGTATGTGAAATACTGGATTGTCGTAGACAGGAATGCTTGCATATATCGTGACGTGGTAAGTCAGGTGAACAGGAGGGGTGAGTGGGCTGTTTTGACAGCAAGGAATCACGAGTGGGGGGAAATGAGCTTCGGACTCAGAAGTGGCTTTCAACATGGGACAGGAGATTCAGGATTAGCAGGGGTATACCACTTGCAAGGGAAATAGCGGTGGGAAAGAATTTTGTAAAGTAGGTGTTGCCATTCAATACACCAAGAGGCTGACAAATTGTGGACTGCTTTGTGGCTGCTGGTTCATGTAACTGTGTTGCTGGCCTGGTGCCTTACAATGTAAAGGAGATGGACAAACTATCGGATTTTCCCAGACTGAGAATTTCTCAAAGTCGTTGATGTGAATGAGTGCTTGTTAGCATGTATATTATAGATTTGTAGAATGGATGCTAGAAATTTTGCCTGGGCATTTGCATTACTTATTGGCTATTTGCTCTTCAAAACGAAAGCAGGGCACTCACTGTGCGTAAGTATGATGTTACCCAAAGGTTGTGTGAGAAAGGTCAGGAACAACACATTTGGCTGTACCCCAAACTCATATGACTCAGGCCAAAAGGCAGAAAATCCCCATGCTCATCCTGATCCGATCTTGCTCATGAATGAAACAAACAAAAGGCCTCTTGACTGATAAGCCTTGCTCAATGGTGTGCTACACAGAGAATATACTGCAGATGTCATATTAGCTGGAAGACAATGCTGTTCGCATGAGGTGGGAGACCAAGGAAACAGATTCCATATCACCCAGTTGTGACAATCAAGACTTATGTAACACATGGGACTAAATAGTGCACTGTTATACCTACTTACTGTATACTGAAAAAGTTTGTGGGAGAAAAATTTTCGTGCATTTCGCAGTCAAGCCAGTCTGCAAAAATATTTCTCCGCGAACTTTTAGCCCCACGAACTTTTTTCCCATGCAAACTTTTCGGCCCCCCTCAGGGGTGGGTCGGGCGCTGGGCGCACGGTTTGGCCTCTTGCCTTTGTACTGCAGCATGTGCCCCCTCGCTGAGCAGCAAAGAAGCCCTGAGCTGGTCAGCAGTTCATTCGCAGGGCAGTGGCCATCGGCTGGCCGAGTCTCCATGGAACCCACAGGTTGTTGGGCGCATTTTGAGAGCACACGCATGGTCTGGATCAGGCTTGTTATTTATGCCGTCAACAACAGCATGCATTGCGTAGTACCTCTGTCCACAAGTCGTGTTGCATCTATAATTTGCATGAACGAAGTTCAAAATATGCGATTCAGAAAATTTGCCCAAAACAAGCTCGATGCGCCATATCAAGAGCCATAAAAAGAGCACTCTCACATGGCAACTGGTGCTGCCATTCCCGAAATATGTTGAGTGCAGCTGAAACGCGATTTTGCATTTGTTAGGGCTGTATGTTGTGTTGGTTTGGTCTGCAATAGGGATATGGTTTGATTCCAAACAGAATCAACAAGGAAAAGAATTGGTGTCTAGTAGAGAATTTGGGGTGTCAACATGAACATTGCAAAGGTTGTGGCCAATGGCCAAGAGACACCTCCATCTGCGAAAGGACAACTACTTGGCAGACTTCCCAATGTTGTGAAGGTCATACATACCAAATCCAAGGCTTAGATTGAGGCACAAATGGCCACATGTTGAAATCCGATTTTTGGAAACATGAATTAGCATACTGGAAGAAACAATGAATAAAAACGTTGGTGATATTGATAAGATCATTGGGGCAATGGGTTAGGGCATTTGGGAATAAGGCAAATGCAACAATGTGGGGAATTGAGGACCAGGTCGACGCAGCATTGAACTGGACAAGGGCATTTTTGACAAGGCTGTCAATATCGTGTTTCATGGTGAGAAGGCAGAAGACTGATCGTTGTTTGCGACTTCATCACAAAACCTGGGCGTCTCGACGCTCTGTAGACATACATACATATGGTCATGAATATGAGTGGAACAACATACAGTCTGTGAAGGGGAGTTGTCACCGGTATGCCAAATGCATGTTGCATTGCATCGGCCACTGCCCCTGTGCCAGATACCCACTGCATTTAACACCATGATGCCCCACGCCTGCATCAAGTCGTGGCCCGTCATGAGGCCCTCGTGCCTTGCCAACTCAAAAGCAAAGGCAACAAGGGCATCAGGATATCCCCACCATCTCAGGCACAACCCACCAACTTGCACCGCCAACCAACAGCATGGAGAGTGGCAGCCACAGCACTACCACTTAACAAGCGATTTTTCTAACCTTGCACCACCGGCCATTCTCTGAGCATTGCCATCGATGTCATCAGACAACGAATCTCCACGATTCTCACCTGATCCCACCATGGAATCACTATCCTCAATATCTAATCAACCCCACCCAACCACTGGCAAAGTGGCCGCCCACCTTCATTCATTCTCCATTGTGCTGCCATGTCTGGCATGCTAGAATTTCTGCCTGTTGTCCGCCCGGCCCTGTCCCCTTGCATTCATCGCTGTTGAACTCCCAGTCTACCCAGCCAATCCTGAGGTCACTAGGAGCCCATCCAGCCTGCAGCATGGTGTTCCATGTCAAACCATTCGAATGCCAACCTACAGAAACTAGGCTGGCTCGCTTTCAGGATCGTTCTCATGAAACATGGAATGCCAAACTTATTCCTGTTGGTGTGGTTCTTTGGGAATGCGGATACACTACGTGAAAACGGGGGCGTCCGCACAGTTTCTGAGCCGCTCTGGTGCGTTTGAGCGCGTCCTAGAGCATCCATGCAGCGTGCCAATGCCTCCGAGCAGCCACTGAAGTCTTCAGAGGACTCGGACGGATCTGTGCGTCCCCAGACACTCCTAGAGTGTCCGACGCACTCTGACGCGTCCAGAGCGTCCGAGGCCTCAGAATACTTTTTAGTGGTCGTTTGGACACGTCTGCATGCTGCGGGGCTGGGCTCAGACGGAGGCCTTGGAAGCGACAGGGGTACGCATGGACATTCTAAATCCCCGGACGTCTGGAGAATGCACAGGCGGTTGGAAAGGCGTGCGCGAAACGCTGAGACAGCTTGAGTGTGTACGGGAAATGCTTGGACTGTTGCCGTGGCATATGCAGAAAACGCAGACGGTTTGAGTGCGTCTGGGGATCCCTGATAACGAATGCAATTCGCCTGCTGAATGCACGACACTCGCCACCATGGCTGTGCCATCCAGCCCCCGCCTGAAGGACTGCACGGAGGGTATTCTCCGCATTGCAGTCTGCTCAGTGGAGAGCGCGCGGCACCAATACCAGGGGGCAACCCAGGCCATGCGAAGGCGATGGGAACAAAGGTGAGGCTGATGGGCACATGCTCATGATGAACTTTGAACTGGGGGTGTGGAGCAGTCAAGGCGTGGAGCGAGGCTGGGGAAGCAGAGTGGCCATTGATTCAGCTGAGATACCCAGCATGCTTACCATACTGAGTGGAGGTGTCCGTGTACAGGTGTGTGCAGATTTGTGGATCAAATCCGTCGAAAACTGGGTGGCCCGGGCTCCCAATTGCGTGCCTTGTCCAGCGAAGCGATGGCATCTGCCTGAGATCTTCTGTACCTGCTTGAATCTC